TTCTACGTATGATGAAGAACAGCACTTTCCATTCTAACAATAGACTAGACCGCCATAGGGAGAGGAATAGTATTGATATCAATATATATGAACACACATTGTGTAAAGTATTACAATGTATTGGTACAGCTTCTAAGCATAAGATTATACTTATGATGAAGAATAACAATCATTTCATATAGCATTGGATGAAACTACTATAGGTAGAAAAACATAGCATTGAATTGGGTAATGATATAAGAGTCATCATCATAGGAAAAATTATCAGCATAATACCTCATATGGAGCTTTCCTGGTACTGACAGCATCATTTTCATTAAATATAGGAATAACTTTCAGCGATAACAAGGACTTCACTGTCTCATTTAGCTGCTTCCTAAAATCTCTATCTCTAAAATCACTGTCTGTTACAAGAAGTTGAGCTGATGAAATATCCAGCTGCAGAAAAAAAAAGTTAAAAAAAGGTGTAATTCAAATTTTCGCGTACTGGCGATAAAACTTCCATGTTAGAGATAGAAATGTTCCAGTAAAGAAGGATGAACTGTATGATAATGAACTTCAAGAAAAGATAATCTGATGCAGTCATGAAATAGAAAACGAGTAGCCACCTCATTGAACAATGTATCATACAGGGCCATAAGACTATTTTGTCCAACAGCTGCACAAGCCTTCCCATCAAGTTCTACTTGTGGCTTCTGAAGATCCGCAAAGCTGCAAAACATGAGATGAGAATAAGAATAATATTAAGGAAAAATGTATTTATCCCCAATATAATCCTGTTTTTCTTTTCGATGAATGGCATCAATATAAATTTTTAGGGTCAATATATACTGAGAAGTGTAAACACCACTATTGTGTGCTGAAAAGATGAAATGAAAAACCTGCTGTTGACTAGTCTCCTATATCTAAGCCTCTGGCGACCTAGTCCAACAGCACCTGATGACACCAAAATAATCTCATATCCTTGAGAATTCAATTCTTTCATCTGCACACATTTTTTGAAACTTTAACCATGTTACTACTTACCACAAGGCAAATAAAGCAATAAGTGCAACCTCCCAGAACTTCATGCATAATGAAGTATAAAAAGAAATATCGTACCTGTTCACATAGTGCTCCTAATCTTCCAAGTGCTAATCGCCCATCATTTCGAGTAACGACAGCAGTCCCAACCTTCAATATAAGCAGTTCACTCATTCAATAGCACACGTTAAGTTGTTTAATGTGTAACTACTACATTGAGAGGAGTTTTTTGTTCTTAATGAAACCATAAAATATAATAAAGGATCCACTTTGGTGGCAGAAAATGACAACAATTTCCTATCTAAAAACAAACTTTACAAACAAAAATAGACATCACTTTCAGGGCAATGTCCGATGATTAAGCAGCTCTACGTATTTTCAGTTTATATATCTTTGTAAAATTTCGATATAAAAAAAAGAACCAATTTTTACCCAATTTTGAACTTATTCTGTTCTCATAAAACAGATAATCTTAATCTTAAAAGAAACTATAATTTTAATTACAATTTGCAATGAAACAAACACAATAAAAAAACTATTTATATAAATATGCGCTTAGTTTGCCTGAAATAGCATCTAGCATCCTTGAATCCATTTTAAGATCTCCAAAATTCTATAGTACATTTTGCAGAATTTAGGAGAAAGCATTAGGAAATCCTAAAAAAACATGCTTTAGGGGCTAAAAAGGTACATTTTCTCTGTTACAAAAGACAAATGAAAAGAAATCAAGGCCTTCATTTTGCTTCGCAATTCCACATCTATCCTAGTAGCCAAACACCCCCTACCCCCACATCCCTCCAATTAGAATCAACATAAAACCACCAAAAACGTAACAAGCAAACTTTTGAATCAATTCATTCTTCATCTCATTGAGCTAATCAAAAAAGTCAAAACTTAAACAATGTCACTAACACAAAAAAAGAAGAAGAAGAAGAAAAATGAACCTTAATAACGATACGCTTGATGTCTTTAACAAAAGCTCTGGAACTATCCTCGGCCATTGATTGTTGTTTCAACTCAGTGACTCAGTAGTAGGTTTTTTGAAGTTGGAGCTTTAAAGAGGGGGAGATTATTGGAAATGAAAGCTGTGTTGAGGTTGAGAAGTCATTGGTGGGCTTTTGGGTTATAACAGTAACAGTTGGCTGAGGCGCCACTGAATGTGGGCCACATGGGTCAAAACAATCAAATGTTTTCTATGATTTTTAGATTTTTCTCTCTCGACGGTTATTTTCATCCTACATCCTTAAATTATCGCTTGGATCATATATCAATATTTACGGGGTTAGAATTTTCTTTAAAAATTAAGTTCGGATTTTTAAGGATAAAGGATCAGATTCAAGTTTATGATAAAAAAATCTTTGACCCGAGCTAAAAGTATAAGTGTGCCTTATATATTTAGGATAATTACAATAATATTTTTTCTTTATATTTTTTTTTCAATTAATTATTTTAAAGAATAAAACTATATATATATATATATTGGAAAAGGTCAAGTCGAGTTTTTACTTTAAAAATCAGGTTGGTAGGACCTCCTTAAACTTGAATCGATCGAATGACGGATGAAAAATATAATAGTCAAATCAAGTGTAAAAACCGTAAACCATGTCCATCCTTATACTATATCCAAGCCGTCCAAGCAATAAGTACATGCATGTTTGTAATTTGATACGATATTTTAAATGTGTAACAGAATATTCGAGCTATCATTTGATGCCAAGATAATAGAAAGACTAACTAATTAATATGATATTGATATATTGAGTACTCACTTATGTTTTGAAGCTTAGGGATTACTTTAGAATCCAAAACATAATTTAAGGATATCAGTGCAATTAACCATTATAGAAAGAAAGTTGTGTGAAACTTTTTATCATATTTGACATTTTATAAGTACAAATATCGCATTTGATTTTTTTTTTATCAAAATATTGATATTGAATTAAACATTGATTATATATATATTATATATCTGTCAAAATACATATATCAAATACGAAACTCAGTCGATGGTCGATAATAAATCATTTATTTTTATCTTAATTTGATTTGTTTATTTCTTCCTTGAAAATTGAAATCGAATACCGGCAAAAGCAGCTTGATGCAAGGAAGAAAATATATTAAAATGAATTCAATGCCGAATCCACCTAATGGAATAGTTATTTTTTATCATGCAGAGTTCATAAATTTCAAGTTTTTGTCCAAGTTGATGATTTAAAAAATATGTAATGATAATGCAATTGGTATACAACGTATTAGATTCAATGAAAGAGGAAATGAAAACAAACACTCATTTCACAGTCAAAAACCCTTAAATATTAATTAATCAGCACTAAGTATTTAGCCTATTGGATGAGACCTAAAACATATCAAGTGTTTAGGATAAATCTTGATAAGATAATTCGAGGGATTTGTTTAAAGTTTTTCAAAAATTAAAAAGTTTAAATTAAAATTTTAAAAAAGTATGAGTTAATGATTTTTTTAAAAAGTTTAAAAGATAATTTAATAAATAAATAAATAATAAAAATTAATGAAATTTTTGAAAAATTGAAGGCTCCAAATAGTATTAATTTTCCAAATTTGGGGCTAGAGGATCCGCCTCTGCTCCTATCAATTCTGACTATATATTAATACTAACTACGTGAAGTCCAGTATCTGGGTTAGGTAGGGGTTTCGTTATCTCTGTTTTGAAAATCGGATCGGACCGGCCGATTCAACCAAAAATCGTTGTTTAGTCCGATTCAATCTAAACCGGTTGAACCGTTATTAGTGAACCGGTCAGAATCGCTGAACCGTTCGAACCGGACCGGCTGAAAACCGAAAAAAAACGAGAAAAACCGGGATTTTTGTTTTTTTTTTTAAAAAAATTAAACCAAACAACGTCGTTTGTTAAACGAGCCAAGTCGAACTCGAGTATTGCTGAGCTTGACTCGAACTTGAAAAATTTAAAAGTAAGCTCAACTCAACTCAAACTCACAAGCTAAAAATTATTAAGTTCAACTCAAACTCGAAATATAATATTGAAACTTGAACTCAAAAAGGCTTGAACTCAAAAAAAAAATTAGAAGCTCGATTGAAGCCTAAAATTCGAGCTTGATTGAAGTGAAAGAATAATTCACTCAATGCTTACCAAAAGGCTCCATGATTTTGAATGTTAAATTACCTCTATTATTTATAGAAGTTAGTTGTGATGCGCTTCTATGTTTCTTAGCAATGTGAGATTGTTTTGTTCTCATATTTTTACTCTTTAGACTTTTGGGATGCTCTTCTATGTTTCTTAGCCATGTGGGATTATTTTTAAAAAAAATTAAACCGAACAATATCATTTTGTTATTATTTTTTTAACCCCAAATTTATATTTTAATTTTAATTATATAATTATATTTATTATTTAATATGTTTTACCTTAAATATTATGTTGTAGTTAATTTGAATCATTTTGTTTCACTTGATTTTATAGTTTTTAACTTATATATGTTATGACTTGCTTTGAATATGACTTGTGATATAAAAAATTATTTTTTATTAAATATTTTTGGTATTTTTATTTAATTTTTTAAATAATTATGACGTCGACCGATTCTTCCGATCGATCAGACCGGTTCGACCGGTTGAACCAGTGAACCGGTAGTATGACCAGTTCGCTAACCGGTCCGATTCTGAAAACCATGTTCGTTATTCATTTCGACTATATTATTATTATTAAGCACATTGCTTAGTTGCTAGGTATACTTCTATCCCCTTAACCAAAAGCGTGTGAGGTTTTCTTGTGGGATTGTTATATATTAATACTTCTATCCCTTTTCCAACACCTCGGTCTTAAGAATGCTGGCTTAACCGTATCCGGCACTCGTTGCCCGACCGAAGAACGGACAGCTAATGCATTCCACTTATCGACCAGAATATCATATATGGGCAAACGAGAGTGTCTACCTAGTAATTTCATGTTAGTTATTGTTTGTATTTCATAGGAGCTGATCTTCGAAACAAAAAATTGTTTTAGGATGATAGGTAAAATTACAGTTCACAAACGAAGACAGAGACAACCTACATTTACATAGTCATGTGCATGAGAGAGTATTTCCAAAAGTTGTAGGCCAACAACACCTCGGCAATTAGATCAGCCTGACTCCAAAACTGAATTAGTGGCAACGCAAAACCTCACCGAAAACATTGACTCCTAAAACTCACTCCTGTTTCATGTTTCAATATTGCTAAAACTCGCCAAGCAACGAATTCCAAAAAGACAAACTTTTCTTCCATAGGAATTTCGCTCAAATTAAACTCATTTTGCATAACTCCTGATAATAGAGAATCCACAGCAGAGTTCGGAACATACATGATGACTTAGTGTAGTTTAGGGAAAGAACCAGACCTTGATGAAGATTGCAAGGGCCATTTGCAACAAGAATGCAGCAACCACCATAATTGTAAGGTCGTTCACCCCCTCGATATATGATCTTAAATTCAAGTAAACAAAGCATGACGAGGCCATACCAGCGATTAGTATAATCATCCATCGGAGAAACTCCACTGGAATAAGCAGGAGGAACTGCAAATATGTCATATAGTACAGTCAGATGATTGTAAAGGAAATTATGAATGGTCAATATATTTGAGCTTCAAAACGATGCAAAAATAGAACCTTAAGAAATCTATATGTGATCACCAATTTAAAAGAACCCCAGAAACATTGATGAATATGCAGTTCTTGTCATCCATAGAAATAGAGAATAATTAACAAGTAGATTGCTGTTGGACTTAAATGGTAAGTTATAGTTTAGACCAAAACTTACCGCAGTTGGAATGAAAATGGAAAGAGAATAACCCCACATGCACCAAAATCGTATAAGGCTAGCATTTGAACCCAGATACTGAAGCAAGAAGTAAAATGCCAGGGGCACCACAATTGCATAACCATAGATTCCAGAAGCTGCTACATTTACATAGCCAACATCAAAGCTCCAAGAAGTAGTGCCATCAGTACGCTTTTTCATAAGGTACGTGGCAAAGTTTCCAAAGGAAGAAAGCATAAAGACCAATGTAGTTGTGATCCAGATATGCCCATACCTAAATATACGCCAAAAATCAAGACAAATGAAGCTTTGGTGCATGCTGCTTTGCATGTCTCCTTTAGGCTTTGCTTGGTATCAAGGATAGAAATAAGGAAGGATGGTAAATTTGTTAATCAAATGGTTAATATTCATAACCACTTCCTTACTTTGAATCTCAACCATTTGATTAACAAATTTTCCATCCTTCCTCATTTCCTCTTTCATACCAAGCAAAGACTTAAAGATACCCACACAAGAGGGGAAGGGGAAGCATACTCACAGATCAGGGTTAGCATCAATCTTGCTGAAAAAATCTCCAGCAGTAGGATAAAAAGAACTGGTCAGCCTGTTTATCACGACATCTGTATCCACGTTAAAATATTGTGTGTATGATGAGATATTAAACACTCCCTTCCAGTTGTTTGGTGGCTTTTGTTCAAAGCTTTCTGCATATGATAGACAAAGGGGTAATAACATTTGTTCAATTACACTATATAAAAGCATTAAAATGTTACCATAAGTGAATTACAACAGACTGCAATGCCGATGATAGTAATTTAGCCACAATATCCTAAGCCTATGGCGTTTTAAAACATGAATGCATAATCCATGGTCTGTGTTCCTTAGTCAGAAGAGGCGCACACACAATCATATAAATAAAGGAAGAGAATACTCTAGAAATGATAATACACACACAAACACAAACAAAACCACAATAGGTATATGCATCATGTGAAGGTTTATTTTGGAAGTGAACGAGATATTGGTTTAGTTGCATCAACTATATGAAGATATTGAATCATTCTTTTAATCATATTCACCATGGACTGCATTTTACAAAAGAAAAATCTCTGACTACGAAAATAGAGGTTGAGAATTCAGAATGTAAACAAAAAACGAGACAACGAATGCAATGTATTCTCTCCATTCAAACTTAAAGGGTGTCGAAAACATAAACCTTGCCAGATAACTTTCCCTAGGATGCCAGATTAACTTCCAAAAAGAAGATCCACTCAGTTCAATGACCAAATCTTTAAAACACTAATCATTCAAACATAGTAGATTTCCAATTTCATCATAACATTTCATAACTGAAAAAAAATTGATAAATGAACCAAGTTTAATATACCAGTTGGAGCTTCAAGAGTTTGATAACCTCGGCCTCTACTTCCTCCGCTGCCATTATTTGGAGGGAAATATTGAATACCCGCTTCAGGAACTGCACAATATCAATTTTATAATTAATGAAAACAAATCCTCTATTAATCTAAACAAACTTCTCCAAAAAAAAAAACTAAAAAGAAGAAGATAAAAGTACCTGCAAATGAGGCCTTCTTTTCTTCACTTATAACAGACTGCAAATCGAAATCAAATTACGTTAAGAGGCCGAATCTTAATAATTAAATTCGGAAAAAAAAATTAAGAAATCGTAAAAATTAACAGGAATTACGGGAACTGAGCCGAGTAAATGACTGGTTGGAAGATTTGAATACGTTGATGACTCATCCATTGCAAAATACGATATCGAATCGAGAAATGAACAGAAAGTGTGGTTTTCTTAAAGAAAATTTGGGGAAAACGATGCGTTTTGCCGTAAATCGGAGGCAACGGAAACGACGATGGGAGGAAGATATCAAAATACTCGACGGATCAACGATACACAACTGAAAGCTATCTCTGTTAGTACGCGCCTTTTCTTGGAGCGTTGAGGATCACGCGTTTGTTGCTTTTTCTGTTTTCCAGCGAGGTTCAAATGATTTGGGTTTATAATGGGCCTACTAGCTTTATTTTTAAAAATTTCTTTTTAATATATAATACTTAAATTATTAATAATTCATTATATGAAGAGGCATTAGAAGTAACTGAATCTTAATACATATATAAATTTATTATAATATATCAATTGAGTTTAAGATTTGATTCACATTTTTTAAAAATATATATATTTTTATAAACTTCTTATCAAACAAGTATTTTTTCCTATTTATATAATTATATTTAAAGTTTTTCTTACAAATAATGTATAAAGAAAGACTAGCTTTAGACTAAAAAGTGGGGATATTCAATATTTCTTTCCAAGTGTGATCCAATAAAGGAAAAGGAATTCCTAAATAATACATATATTTTCATTGAACGTTTGACATGGTATTTCATGTCGAACTCAATGACCTTAGTGATTAAAGAGAATATTGTTATCTTTTAAAATTTTATATTTGGATAGTTACGTCTGCAATGTGTGTATTACTAATGATCACGAAAGATTATGAAAATATATTACACTGTAATCACATAGACTATTTAAAAAACATGATATTTTTTTAATAATAACTATATTTATGTTTATTAATTAAATAAAAATAAATAAAATACATAATTTTAAGAAAAAAGAATCTATAAAATATAGAATAGACTAACTATTCGAAACAACAATTTTCTTCGAAATCATATAAAAGAAAAAATAAATGTTAGATAAGATAAAATAAAATCATATAAATAACAGGTTAGAAAGTCCAACCAAATAATTCAAGAAAAATAAAAGGTACAAACAAATATCATTGTGGGTTGTGAAAGATAAATATCATTAATACTAACATAATAATAAAATATGACAATACGTTAACATTTAACTTTATCACACTGACACAAGTCAAGCATTACATATATGGAGTGATTTAATTAACTCACCTCATTAGTTAAAGAAATCGATATTGTTCCTAAAGGTAATGAGTTTGTGTTGGACCATGTTTTATAATATTTTGACATAATAAATTAAAACAAAAATGGTTTTTGTTCAAAGTTTTCTAAAATAATTCAAAGTCTATTAAACTATAATTTGAACACAAAACAGTTTTTTGGGTATGTAGTACCGATACTGTTCTTACAGTATCGATACTACATGAAAAATATCGATATTGTTCATATGGTACCGATACCAAAATTAATAGTAATATCGATACTCTATTGGTAGTAACGATACTACCGATTGTTTTACAAATTGTTCAAATTCCATAATGTAAAATTGGTATCGATACTCAAGGGGTACCGATACTACTTTACATAGTGATATCGATACCATGAACCCTAATATCGATATTAGTCAAGCCCAATGATCTTTGACGACTAGTTTATTTAAACATTACAAAGGTAGTATCAATAATCCCTGTTATGGGCAGTTTTATTTTTACAGAAAATTCATCTCTAACGGCTCCAAAATACCCTCAACGGCTAGAAACAGTCACAAATTCATTCCAACTTATAAAAAAAAGTTGAAAACAATTGAAAAATGTTATAACACACATCCAAGGAATAGAAATCAAGAGAAAAACTCTTTCAATATTATACTATAGAAATCAAGAAAAATTATGCTACTAAATTAATGCAGTACTACGAAATCAAGAAAGAAAAATATACTACGAAAAAGAAAAGATAATGCAATACTAATATACTATAGTAAACAAAAGCGTCCATCACTTTCATTAGAGACTTTTTTTTAATAAAAAACCGATAATAGTAAATAAAGAGGCCAATTGTTTTTTTTTCTTTTTGTTTATTAGTGCTCAATTGAATGTATGTTAGGATTTAATGTCGAACTTATATACGAAAAAGTGTACTATTTGTTAAATTAATGTACTAATTAGACTAAAAATATATATTATATTAGAAACAAATGCCAGATTTAAGTACTAATTTGGACATAAGGACAATATCACATTAAAAAATATATAAGTTTCAGGTACAAAATGATGCATTAAACCTATAATTCTTTAATATAATAACTAAAACTATTACTTATGGATTGAACATGAATTAATAGATTTATATAAAAATTGAACATGAATTTATATATATATATTCTACCACTTCACTCGTAATCATTTGTTTATAAAAATATTTTTATTATAATAAATATGTATAAATAAATGTTTTTAAATTAAAAGGATTATTAAAACAAAAATGTTGTTTGGGCCATGGCCCAATAGCGTTTTGAGGAGCCGGTCAACCTTTAATGCTTTTAAGAATTAAAATCTTTGTTAAGACCCATGCCCTTTCGGACTAGTAGATGAAACAACCTTTGACCAAATTAGGGAGGCTTAATTACTTATTTATTTAATCATCGATCGAACTGAATGAGTTTAAATTAATTAATTTTTATTTAATCATTAATTGAATTTTTTTAACTATTAATGGAACTGAACAAAATTTGTTAATTCAGACAATTTTTGAATTAACCAAAATTTGTTTCAAGTATTTTTAGTTTGATTAATTTGAGTTTAATAGATATATATTTTCATTTGAATAAAAATTTAATTAGGTCTTAAAAATTTAATGGATCTAGTATGAGTAAATATATATATATATATATTGAATTTAATAGAATATTTTTCATATGAGTTAAAATATAAATTAGTATCTAAACATCTTTGGATAGGTAGTTTGACCCGGTAAAATTAAGGCGAATTAGGACGATTTTTATTTTAAATTAGAGTGAAATTGAATTTAAAATACACCTATACCGACTCGCCCTAGGATTAAACAAACAATATTCAACATTATTTAAACTTGATATTGTTAGATTTTTTAAATTTGTTTTTTTAATAGTATGATACGATTATAAGATAATATATATTTAATTTTTTTTTAACAATTGACTCTATATATCCTATAAACATAATTATTCGAATATAAATTTTAGAAAAATGACTCTATTTTATTACTACCATAGTTATTCTTCAACACTGTTTAAACTAAGAGATGAATTCTGAATTAATATTGTCCACGTTAGTAAGAGCATCCCATCCCTAATCAAAATAGACATTTAAGGTCACCCAAATTTCACGTGCCAATGCCATCACCTTTGTAATTAAATTCCAAAATCCTTTAAAAATCCTTCAAAACAATTCCAAAATATTCAACCAAAACAATGTCATTCCCTCCTTTCGTATTCGTCTTCTTCCTTTCCTTCCTCCCTCGTTCCACTCCTTCCCCTTACCTTTCCCCCACAATCCTCCCTCAAAATTACCAACAAATGATCAAAAACTTCAAAATTTACACTTACGCCCCTCCCGAAACGCTATCGTTTGACTCCAAAGTCGAATCCCTCTTCCACTCTTCCCTCCTCCGCAGCAACTTCATCACTCAAAACCCCGAAGAAGCCCATCTGTTCTTCGTCCCCTACGCTTTCCGTTCCGACCTCTCCACACGCTCCGCCGCGTATGTCGTTGGGGATTACCGTACAGAGTTCGTTTACTGGAACCGTACTCTCGGAGCGGATCATTTCTTCCTTTCTTGCTCCGGCGTCGGCCACGGTTCGGACCGGAATGTTGTGGAGTTGAAGAAGAACTCGGTTCAGATCTCGTGTTTTCCGACGACGCCCGGGTTGTTTATTCCTCACAAGGATATTAGTTTGCCCCCGCTTGCTAACGTTCATGCGCCGGCTCACGCTCAGGGTACTAAGAGCTCGGGCCATTTAGGTTACGTGAGATATAATTGGGTTAAGGAATCGAGTTTGGTGGAACAGCTTTTAGCTGATCCCGAGATTTTGGTTGATTCTGAACCGTCCGATCAGTTAACTTACGAGGAAAGACTCGCCGGAAGTAAGTTCTGTCTGTTCGAGTACGGACCGGAGATATCGGCGATCGGAGAAGCGATGAGTTTCGGGTGCGTGCCCGTGTTGATAACCGACCGTCCGATCCAGGACATGCCGTTGATGGACCTGCTTACGTGGCAGCAAATCGCAGTGTTCGTGGGAACAAGCGGTGGGGCCAAGGAGATCAAGAGGGTTTTGGGGCGCGTGGCGGCGGAAGGGTACGAGGATATGAGAGAATCAGCTGCGATTGCAAACAGACATTTAGTGTGGAACGAGCCGCCGCAACCGTACGATGCGTTTCATATGGTGATGTATCAGCTGTGGCTGAGGAGGCATACCATCAGGTATGCAGAGAGAGTGTGGGCTTAAAAGAAATTAAGGATTTAAAGAGTTGTAGTCCGTTGATATATGTTTGGGTTCACTCCTTTGGACGGTGGTGACCACGTAATTCTTTTATTGCTGTAAAATAATATTTTTAGAATATTAAGACATGTTGTAATACAAATGAATTGAGTAATGTTAAGACATGTAATAAGAGTTAATTGCATTGTATAACCTTCATTACCTTCGTTTTAAATTGGTTCATAAACTTTTAAATATTTTAATTTTATCCTTAAATTATAACTATAAATCCAAATTAATCCTCAAACTTTCAAATATTTCAATTTCATCCCCAAGCTATGATATTCATTCTAAATTGGTCCCCAATTTTTTTTCAACATTCTAATTTCATCCCAAACTATACATATATACTAATTAGAATAAATCAAAAGTTTAAGAACTAATTTAGAATGAGTCGTAGTTTGGGGATGAAATTGAAATATTCAAAAGTTTAAGGACCAATTTAAAATGAAGGTTGTAGTTTGGGGAAATTAACTCTATATATAATTTACTAAAAAAATAAATTATTTTTTAGAATTTCCTTTAACAGTTTTAAGTCGTGGTAAGACAACCCTGTTAACTTCATTTTCAATCTACCGAGAATCATTTCTATACATGTTTCGGAATAATAAAAATCTCAGCTCCACATCCTTTACCAGTTTTAATCTAACACGAGACAAGCTTCCTCATGAAACAGAAGTGGTATTCACTAACCTGACATGGTAATGCTGATTAACCAGGCACTTAAAGCAATTGACGCAGCTGCTGATTTTCTTTCCGGAGAGACTTGACCTCTTCCATCAGTTCCGCCTGGTTCTGTATTATGGAGCTCATCACACGGGACATCTCCGTCTGTATAAAGATTTCCACAAAAAATTAGAGCTGGGGAACATGCAAGTGAAAGCAATATCAAAAACAAAAATAAAGGATGATAGGCAAATACCTCCTGCATGTGAAATTGTCGTAATATTTCGATATGTAGGTTCCTCATGTCCCCATGAATGGATTTCTGGAATGAATCGAGGGTTTCTTCGAGAGTACGTTGAAATAGCTGAAGAGTAAAGTTACTTCCTTGTTGGGGGTCTTGTTGAGGAGCTTTGTGGGGTAGTAATGTTCCTCCCTATTATATAGTCAGAACCAATGACCGTCATGACAGAAGAAAACTATAAAATCATAGAGATTCTTAAAATTCCTTCATCATGGATGATTTCAGCAATCCAATGCATAAGCACAATATTGCAAACGGATATAGAAAAATTAAATATAGAAAGGAGCAATTATTTAACCAAACCAGGTTGCATACATTCATTGCTGGAAGAACTCCCGATTCCGCTGCAGTCAACGAATCAGACCTCGATAACAGGCTATTGAACAGCTCTTCCCTGGTTTCAGCTCCTGTTTTCTTTGTTTTCGGAGAAGCCACCAAATGGGATGTTCCGTCGCTGAAAGCAGATGTAGTACTAATTCTCTCAGCATATGTTGAAAACCTTCGAGGCAGTGCTAAAGATGCTAGTTTTGGTGAGTCAATGCTGCCAGCTCCAGTAATGCCTTTTGAACCAAAAGCTAAAGCGGACATGGAGCTTGAGGAGAAGTGCTCAGGTAATCCCAATGAAGTCTCCTGATTTGATGAGACATCTCTAGTGCGCAGATTTTCATAGCTCAGGTTAGAAGCTGTTAACGAGCTAATACTTGCCTGACTGAGCGTTGAAGATCGATCTTGTCCCGAATATATAGAGCTTGTTGTCAGACCACTGGAAGCTGGCATCCCAAAACGAGATGGCAGCTGGCGAAGGTGACTAAATTTATCGGACATCTTCTCACCACCCCAAGCTTCTGGAGGAGTGATGGAAGTCTCTTCACTCTTGGAAGATGGTGCAGGGGTAGATCCCAATGCTGTAAAAGACTTTGTGTCATCCTGCAAAAATAAGTCGTATACAAACATCGTAATGTGCAACAAAGAGCCAAAAATTGTAGCAACTTCACTAAAAAAGCCAAATTATGTATCAGCAACAGTTCCGTGGAAGATTTAGATTAATATCTTATACAGAAAAATCAAAATAAATATGCTATCCATTGTTCTTATTCAAATAAGATATCAAAAAGCATAAAACCTGTTGAGACATTGAACTGGACTTCCAATCAAGTACTGGGTGATCACTGGCTCCATCATCAGCAAAAGTGAACCTCCTGCTAGACGGAAACAGCAAGGAGGAAGGCTTCTTATCAGCGGGTAGGTGCTCTTTCTTTGAACTGTCATGACCATCCCACAGCTTGTCCAGAGAGGGTGTAATCGGATGAACATCCTCAAGAGGGGAAAATACCTCCATATCATCCTTGAAATTGAATGTAGAACGAGGAGCTTGCAATCTTGTCAGTGTTCCGCCTGTCCACAGATGGCTTCTAATTGGTGTTTCGAGAGAAGAGGACAGATTGAGTGAGCCTGACACTGATCCACTTGTAAGAGAAGATACTTCTGCAGGACCTGCACGGCCAGTGGTACGAGAACCAGAAACTGCTGTAGATAATGTAAGGCTTGATGATGTCACAGATGGAAGCGGGTCGGGCATAAGAACTGAATCCTCCATTGCACCTCCCAAAAGAGCAGTCTCAGCAGTGCAAGTACTCTCGTTAACAATGGCTGGTTTTGATCTTTGCCAGCATAAACTTGAAACAGCCTGATAGATGCTATAAACACTTAGGATGATTAAAGGACTAAAGCTTACTACATTTCATTTACACAAAACACATTGAGGTTAGACCACAAACAAGCTAGCAGAGACAGCCCATTATAAGTCATTAGTTCCATTACAGAACATCGTCTTTATACACATACCCTTCAAAATTATATATCAAGTTTAGACTTCTTATGGGAAAATAGAAAGCAAGTGCAAACTAAAAGAACTTATCATGGCCTGGGTCTCTTTTTAAATTAAAAAGAGATGCATAGAGCCAAAGATAACCAACCTCTGAACTACTATAAGCACGAAGAACAGTGAAAGGCTGTAATTTTCCTCGGATATCATAGAATACCACTCTACCATTACCGGTGCCTGCTGCCAGTGTCCAACCATCATCTCTAAATGCCAATGAAGAAAAAGGTGCCTCATATGAAATGAAAGCTGACGGTCTTCGAGACCCTGAATCGTAAGTGTATAGCTTCTTATCCAACCCAACACTAGCAATTATCTGTCAAAAAGGAAAAAGGGACTTGGCATGTGAAAATATTTAACTATTTTTTGAAAGATGTCTTAACCATATAAAAGTTCATCTCAACCTTCTAGAAAAGGTCAGTCTATTCCTTTAACTAATCCTGAAAGAATGAAAAGAAGAAATAAAAAGGAAATAATGAGACCTTATCATTGGAGGGTGAGAAACTGATGCCAGCTGTGGGGGCAGAATGCTGATTCAACCAAGAAACCTGTAAAAGCTAGTGGATTACATATATGTTTTAAACATCAAGAATATTAAGGCAGACAGGGAGAAGAGAACCTTAGGGCTGCGACCAGTGGCATCCCATAAATGAACAGATCCATCATCACCTGCAGTCACTAAAATGTGTCGACTAATCCGCGAATAATCAAGCACCTTTAGTTCCTGGTCTTAAAATCCACCAAAGGAAAATTAGCTACCAAACAAAAATAAGAACTTAACATAAGCACCCAAATGCAACAAACTAAACAACCTGTGCATCAGGATCTTTTAATTCAGCAGCCTTTGCCCCAGAAGCAAGGTTGTGAAGTATTAGATCCCCACTAAGACTGATGGAGGCTAAGTGTTCGTCTTTGCAGTTGTACATAAGACCAGTTATTGAGCTGGTATGACCCCTTAACCACTTGATACAACGCTTCCGCTGCAAATCCCATATTCTTACAACTTGACCACTTCCCCCTGAACATATGTATCTGGATCCCTTGTTGCTAAAACTAATAGCTAAAATAGACTCCTGCAAATATAAGGGAAATTATGCTTTATAAATTTGACTAGGAAGGCAATGGCTGTAATTATTTTAAATTTCGGTACCCTTGTAAACCAACTAAAGACCGACATTAATGAATTAGAAATTTCAAGTGTCATCAACAAATAATAAATTTTGGGTGTCGAGTCATAAAACTTTGAGGGTTCTATTTTCACAAATGAGAGCTCATACTTTTTTCTTCTTTTGGCATAAAACATTATAGCAACTAACTTGAGGAAATGGACACATTATAGACTATAGAGGAATGCAAAGCACAAAATGTTTGAAACAAGCTTTCCCATCCATGCTACTTAAGCGCATCCTCCTCTCTTGCTACATACAAGCATTGATGCTAGAAACATGTGATTATAGACAGAAAGCACAATTATATTTTGTTCATTATACTCCTAGACTACAAACAACAATACACTGCACGACACGCCCACATTGATAAAGCAGAAACTTCAGAAAGCAAATGAATTTGAAACTACTCTCTTTTGTTCATAAGTAACTCGATGTAAAACATGATTTAATAATCTACAATTAGTGTCATCCAAAGTCAGCTGCCAATCAACATAGCACATCCTATAATTAACTTCTATATCGTCATGTATGTATTTGAAGCTAAAGACCCTACAGCATCGACAACACAGTTAGGGACATAGCACATAACTATTTTGGAATTAGCATGCATGATCTACCTGGAAGTGTACAATATATCCCACTCCAAAAAAAGTATGTTTCAAACAATCAAACCATAAGTATTTCAACAATATTCAACAGTTTAAATCGTAGAGAAGGATTACCTCAACGTTATCTCCACTATCACTCCCATCAACCGGAATTGTCCCAATCCTCTGCCCATTTTTCCGCCACAAGGATATCTTCTTATCCTCTCCAGCACTCGCCACCACTAAATCTGCCATAATATTTGCTCAGCTGGAATCAGTGCAAATAGCTATACACAAGTAAAACCAAAACAGAACAGAACAGAACTGAACTGAATTTCTCACCATAATTGCTAACTTCATCTTAAGCAAACTTCTAAACTTTTAAATGCAATTAATTAAGTTAAAATACGATCTTAGTCCTTTTAACTCAATAAATCAATCATTTCAGATATACATTTTTTACTTGATATATATATAAAGCAAAAGAGAACACAATTACGGCAACCGAACAGATCGTAACAACAGAAATGTGAGGCGAAAAAGGTTTATCGTTTTAAAATAACAAAAATGATTAAATAACTTACTAGTGTGGTTCCACTTAACCGAGTTGACAATGCAACTCGGAGAAGGCGAGTAACTCAAAACGCAAGGATCGTTCGGTTCGAGCTTAATGTCAAAGATCTTCACAGTGTCGCCGCCACTCGCAGCTAGTAACTCCGACGACGGATCCGATAGATTCATCTTAAATCTCTCTTGTTTAAGTAAAAGAAAGAATTAATTTTCTCAGGAAAACACTTGAAATTCAAACGAAAATAGGAAATGGAAATTAATTGGAACCTGGTGGTTAGATAAAAAGGAGTGTAAGTAAACCCTGCGTCAAAGCAAAAGAAAGCGACGAGGCCAACAATTTTTAAAAATTTTCCGATTTTTCCTTTCTAAATTTTGAAGTGTGTGGGCGCCTTTGTCCTTATGATTTATAGTTTATAAATTTAAAAGTTAGATTAAACTAATGGAGTTGAATTGAATTTATTGAATATTTTTAGTGATAAAAACAGATGTTGTTTTTAATAGTATATTTTTGTCAAATTAGCAACTCTATAAAAAGTGTGTATGTATTGTCGATAGTTTCACTCATTTCTTTTAAGATTAATTTTTCACTAAACTTATTCAAAATCAACTAATATTCTTTTAAAGTTTGATATTATAATATTTTGATCTCATGCAACAACAATCTGATTAGGTCAGCTTCAAGATATATTGTTCGTCTTCTCAAAAATATATTTCAGACCATTTAAAATTTTAAAAACTATTAAAATGGTGAAATTTCTATGTTTAATTTCGTGAATTTTTTCTAGATGATTAAATAAATTTACATATATAAAATAGTTATAAAAGATATCAAAGAATGATATTTTATAATTATGACTTAAAATGAGCGAAAAAAAATCTAATGGAGAAAATAATAAAAATATTTCTTTAACTATTACATCAATTTCAAATTACTAAACTATCCTAAATATTATAAAATTAATATAAAAATTAGAGATGAAATAGTTTTTTTTAAATTCAATAACAAAATTAATACAGAGGTTAAAATTTAATGATTAACAAGATATTTTATCTTCAATATTATAACTTAAATGATTACATTTGTTAGAATCTAAACTACACAAATAATTTGAATATATCACGTTGGTCTTCATTTAGTGTTGATCATTGTTTTTTTACCTATTAATCTTATAATATTATAAATTAACACTAATGAAAGATAATTTATTGAGGTTAGTAATTAAAAAGTGTGATTCGATTTTTTAGATTCGAATAAAAACGTTTACGTGTTGCATATACATTGTCAATGACTAAAAAATCTTGAACTTATATTATCTTGTAATCATCTCATAAAAAAACATTGATGAAAGAGTTAATTACACAAGTCAGCAAAGCATAATAATATAAGATGTTTTAAAACTTAAAGATCAATTTAGAATAAGAATCATTGTCTAAGATGCAATTATCTGTTAATACAATTATTAAAAAGAAAAATCAATTTTACAGCTTCTTTGCTCAAATCATGTCTGATGTCCAACCAAAATAACAAGGAAAGCTCGTTCTGGGACAAATAGTGCTGGGGAAGGGGCAATGCATTCTATTCTGCTCCCTAAAGGTTTAGAAATGAGGCACTAAAAGCATTGGCTGTCAACTAAATCTCCCAATATCAACTTCAATCCTCTATGTTCCAATGAAAGTATACAAAATTTGCAATAAGGTATTCGAACAACAGCTCGGGGCATTTTCTCTACCCCTTCCTACCCTGTTCTTTTTCAGGGTCACCCCGTGGATTCACGATGCTTACCACATAAGCGTTACTCATTTTCATGCACCAAAAGAAACGATAAATCTTTGAAACAAATTAATAATTAGATTTGAGCGCTAGGCTCTAAATTGCAGCTAATCATCTCATAACATTTGATTGCACCTAATTATATCCATACAAACAACTCAATCAGTGAATAATCTGAGAGATACGAAAAATCATTTTGAGGACAAACCGGGCACTTTTTTTTTAGTGTTCCAACAACTCCGACCACACCTATGTGCTGCCAGACTAGATATATCTATACATTCACCGCAGAGTAACTGCTATAAAGAAAAAGACAAAACATGGAGGTGGAAAGTAGCAGCTTATGCTACACGAAAGCAGACTAGTAAACTTTTTTACCCTACAAAATGGTATCCACAAAGGTGTCACTTACGTCACCTCCAGCAAAAGTTTGGATCCTGCAATCTTCAGTTTCAACCATTTTTGGAGACTGATAAGGATAACTACATTAGAGAAAAAGAGATGCGGTAAATAATATAAAGTAGCACTGAGAGTTGTTTTGACGTTTAACTAGATGAATAACAAAGACTGATATAAAAAAATGAGAAACATAATTAACAATTATAATAAGCATCATATGGATTTAAAGTGAAAAAGATTCAATTTTTCGTGTGCTGCATTCTGACAATAACAAAACTACAAAACACATTACCAATCATCAATATTCTCACAACGGACAGAAGAGGACATTGAAGGAGAAGAAAGCAGGCAATCGGGTAAGTGGATACTGAGGACAAGGGGGCTGATCACTAAGTTATACCATAGAAAGAAAATCACTTCCATTCTTCTCCATTAGAAGCCCTTTTTGTCTTTTTCCTACTTTGATGTGATCCAGGGAGAATCCTATGGCCTGAATCTTAAGAGAGAGAAAGAGATAGATCAAAGAAGGTATTTTCTTTAGTTTCTAAACTTGGACCATCAAAAAATATTATGAGCGTCTCTAGATTGGTTTGACAAAAAGAGCTTTATGATAACAAAGATTCAATATTGTTTCCACCTAAAAGCTTATGATTACAATTATTTAAAAATCATCATAAACATATTCAGGCTGCATGATACCTGAAAAGCTAAAACTTCTAATACTATATCCAGAGGGAAGTAATAACCAGGGACGGGAGCAGGATTTTATGCTAAAGGGGTGAACTTGTAAAATCTTAAAGGGGAGACGAACTTATAAAATTTTAGAGGGGGGCAAAAACAGATTTTCAAAAGAAAATACAAAGAAAATATCTAAATTATATATGAATTTAAAAGTTTAGGCGGGGTGACCGCCCCCCTTTTCTAGGTCCATCCCTGGTAACAACCACTAATGAAAAGGATATGACAAAAAAATCAACAAAATAAATAAAAAATAAAATAAATGAGACAACTCTATTTAGCTGACCTTCATGGAGACTTGCACGCCATTATATGTTGATAGCTGCAACCATTACATTTTAGTGGCCATGAACTTTGCTTTTTTCTCTGCTGGCTTTAGAATCTGGAAAGAACACATCAGGTTGTCATCGACACTCATCATTGCACCAGCATTATCAAATTCACCACAATAGTTAGGTGCTGAAAATATTGTAACAAGTTGCCTATCAGCAAAGAATTCGTAACCATCCTCCACAACCTTCAAAAAAATAACCAGTTTAGCATCAAAATAGTACAACATGAAACACACGAATGGGAAAGCCTAGCTAAGTCAACAACCTGATGTGCACGGCAGACAAGATCTAAATCATGCTTTGCCAAGAATTCAGACACCTTGTCTGCACCAAAGGTGTATGAAACTCCTCTGTCATTCATTCCCCATCCTTTCACCTCTCTATCAGGGTCAGACCAAAGCAAATCACACAGCAAACCGGTGTCAGGAATTGCAGTTGGACGAGATAAGTTTCTAATTTGATCAAGGTGTGTCAAGTCAGGGGAAAGACCACCATGCATACACAATATTTTATCGTCTATAAGAGCAGCCACAGGCAGGCAGTTAAAACAATCAGTAAAGCTTTTCCAAATTCTCACATTAAACCGTCGCTTGCATTCATCATAAAATCCATATATCCGATTAATAGATGCACATTCATGGTTTCCTCGCAATAGAAAAAAGTTCTCCGGATACTTTATCTTATAAGCAAGTAAAAGACATATCGTTTCCAGACTCTGCTTGCCACGATCCACATAGTCACCTAGAAATAGGTAATTGGCATGAGGTGGAAAACCCCCATACTCAAACAGCCTTAATAAATCACTATATTGCCCATGTATGTCACCTAAAAGCAAAAACAAACAATTTACAGTAAGAAACAATAAAATACAGGAAAATGATGGTTGCAGTGTTGTCAGTGGCGCAAGGCACGCTCTAGGCACTAGCACCCTTATATTGTCTCAGGCAAAAAGAAAGCAGTAGGCTCAGTGAAGTGCAATATGTATATCTGTAAGTACACACGCACATATGTGAGTTTTTGTAAGTCTGTGTGTATATATGTGTGTGTAGATATATGAAAAGCTTACTATATATGATAAACTAAAGTGTGCTATAGTTTTTGTACAAAACATGCACTTTTTCTCGGTCATATTGCATGATTTCCTTACTATTCGAATGTTAAAATATTGAGAATCATAGGTTATTATCCCTCTCTTACTATTAAAGGTATATCAAACGAAAAAAGTGAAAAATAAAATAAATTAAAGAGAGATTCAATCGGACAGCCTTCGTTTTATGCCTAGTGACCTCACAAAAAAAGCAGGCCTAGGCCGAAGCCTTATGAAATAGGGCTTGCCTGAAAGGGTCTGAGGCGCTTTTGTTTTATAGTCCTAAGGCGCAGACAACCTAGGTGCTTTACATATATTTTTCTACAGCTCCCAGCAATCAAACAGTTAAAAAAGGAAAAAAAAAAAGCAACTGCAACCCAATTTCCTCAACTTTTCCATTTAAAAAGGGAGGCAAATTAGGATTTTAAAAAGGTTAAATTCACCTCTATCTGGTTCAGAAATCCATACTATTAAACCCCATTAAAAAACCAAAAGAATCATATTCCTTGAACACTATTTATTCAACACTTGTAAAAATGCAACCTTTACCAATCTATCACAACCTATTTATTACATAAAAAAACCCTCGGCTTTCCTTCAAAACCCACAAAATATTTTCTAATAAGAAATCCCAACGAAACATAAAGCTCAAGTTTTATTCGTAAAAGTTAAAAATTAAACCGCCAAAAAAATTACCACAAATTTTGATGGGTGCTTCGAGTTCAAGCAAATTGGGTTGTTGAGAGAAGATATCTTTTGAAGCAACACAAAGCTGCTTGATCTCGGATTCAGATAATTGCACTTGTTTCCCTGGCCTGGCTGACCGGACTTCCGTCAGCCGTCTGATTATATCGTCTAGAACCGCCGGGTCCATCCCTTGTGCCGCCGCCATTAGATCCTCTTCCTCCTCCTTCAACGGCCCCTGATTAAACCTAACCCTAAAACTATAAACCGAAACGGGGCAGATAAATGATCCTTTTATGTCAGAAGATTTTGGGGGAAAACGGAATTAAATTGAAGGAGAGAAATATCTTATTGACTTCCACTTTTTCAAAGGAACGTGGAAGGAAAACATAACACTGAGTGACGTCGTTTCGAAGAGACGTTGTTTCTTAAACCGTTAGACGTTTGGGCCGGTTCATTTCTCACGACGTGGGCTTAGTTCGAACTTTTTGTTCGAACATCTCATTTAAATTTGATTATATTAAGAGGTTTAATCCTTCTTTTTAAATTATCCGAATGATTATAATATAATATTTGTTCAGAGTTTTTCTTCGTTATTGGTAATATACATATCCTACAGACGTAACTGCTTGAATTCAAACTTAAAAAATAATAGTTTATTTTATTAAGATCGTCTTATAGATTCTAAAAAAATTTAACCATTGCATAAACAAATTTAAAGAAAATTAACTTTTATTTAATTATTTTGAAAGGTTTAAATTTTATGTGAGCAGGTATCAATTTGGGCATTTAACCTTAATAATACGAGCATGATAAATTTAGTTCTGATTTTGGTTTCTGTATTATTTAGAATTTAAGGTTCAATCTCTAATTTAATTTGTATTTTTTTAAATACTTGCAGCAATTAATCAATCATCTTCAACTAATTATAAATTTATATATCATACTACTACTCAAAGTTACAAACTATCTTTTAAAAATAATCATCATCATTTTATCAGTTCTGATTAGCGATGTTATCGATTTAGACTTATTAAATTATATTATCACAAATAATTAATGATGTTATCTAATCTAGACTTACTAAAAACATTTAAAAAAATAACTTATCTTAAATTAAGATAAAGAGTTTAAATCTTAAATTTTATCATATAACAATAAGATTAAAATTATAGTTAGACTTGTTACCCAAAAAAATTATAATTAGACCAATATGATAGGTCGTGAGATCGAATACCACGGAAGGTATTTCATAATTCGGAGGTCTTCTACGTAAGCTGCTCTCTACCTGATGTTGGGATCAACCTACTATATCACATCCCCTTACCCCATTACATACGGGAACAAGGGACAGTTATTTATGAATGCATTAAAAGTCGAGTTCCTTGTGTGGAGAGCCATTCTTCAGAGACTCCCAGTTCTGGAAGGGTTAGGTAAAACGGGCACTGTGTCTGCGGGTTCTCTAGCATGCGTTCTGTGTTCGAAGGAGATTGAATCAGTAAATCACCTTTTCTGTCACTGCGAGGTGAATCTCCACTTTGTTTGCCCGGGTAATGTTCGCTCTTTCCTCTCTGCTTGGGATGGTATTCAGATTTCCAACTCTGGTAGAAATATGTGGAGTTTAGCTTTCTTTGCCTTCTTTTGGTCAGTTTGGATAAGCAGGAACGAGGCAATGTTCAATAGAAGTAATGTTAGTGTAGAGAAATTGTTTTGATTCTGCTGTCTCAAGGCTGGGTGTTTGGTGCAGCTGGAAATGGCCAGAAGTTTGCGTCTCTATAAATGATTTTTGCAGTTGTCCAAATGCGGTCATCTCCATTAAGCGGAGATAATCGAGTGGCTAGGGGATGTTCTTGTCTTTGCTACCTCGATTGTGATGTATTTACTTTCTTGTCTTTAGCTTGTCGATGGTGCTGTAGTGGCTCTCTTGTATTTCTGCAGGCTGCTTTGTTTTTGGTTATTTTGCTGGTGGCTAGCATGGTTGGTTCATGTCCTGTTGTCGATAGTGTGTCCTGGAGCACGTTTTGAGCGATGTTACAGAGCTGGGCTCCCAGAATATGCTGAATATCAAGGTTGTAGAGGGTCCGGGGGAGCTGCCTGAACTGTAGTTTTTGGTATTTTGGGTGGTGGCAGGGGTGGTCTGGGGCAGTTGTGGACTTTGGGTGTATTGGGATAGTGAGATGCTGTTTTCTCTTGCGTCAATTGAATGCGGCTTCCTTTCTTTGTTGCTCCACTGCGTATTGGCGTTTATTTCCTTGTGTTGCCTAGTCAGCCCTGGTGCCTCATCCCAGGTTGTGACATTGGCTTTTTGGTTCTCTGCAATTCGTGGTTTTGGTGGTTCTGATGTGGGGTGTTACCAACTGGGTTCGCTTGCCTATAGATGTTGATCCTCTCATGTTATTTTAATTGTTTTGCTTGTACATGCCTATTTCGTGTGCTTAAGCAGGTTGTGGATGCTGGTTGTTTTTTTGGTTACATTTTGCCATTTTGGCAATAATAGTGTGTACTCTTTATCCTCTAATTAAGTCTAGGGAGGTTTTTTAATGAGACCTCTATTATTCATCTAATTTTGTATGAATTTTTGTTCAATAAATCGTGCAAAAGTCTCCTTTCAAAAAAATAAACAAATAAAATTTTATATGAATATAATGTCTCGAACTTATACAATGATGAATCTTGATACTAAATTTTGAGAGTACAATTATATATATATATATATAATATATATATGTATGGAGTATGATCTATTTATATAATGTAAAATCTTTTTAATTATAAATATTTTCTGAAATTCGGTTTACTATTGCTTGAAGTAACTAAACTAATAGAGTTTGTGATTTAAATTTTGTTTGATTCAGTTTAAAAAGTTTACAGTGCTACCCGATTCGTGAAGAAATAAAATTAAGAGTAAAAAAGATTAGTAATGGATCCGAAGACTCCCAAACTGCATATAAAAAACTCTTTGTAATTTGAAGATTAGTTAATATAATTAGGATAAATCAACATAAGGCATTCTATTATTAGTAATTTTACAATCGAATCACTCTATTTTAAAATATTACAATTAAGTCTTCTAATTTATCAATTTAAATAATCAGATTATTGTACCAATAAATCTCACACATACGTTAAAAGGTGTCATTAGAAAATACTTTTAATTAATTTATGTTACATATGGTGGTGGTTGGAGTCATTTGTGTATCTTGAAGATCCAAACAGTAGAGAGACTGTCATTTGTGAGAGGAGTAACATATCACGAGACGGTCATATGATATTAGATTGAAGAAGTTCAAAAGTTTTGGAGTGGTTTCGTGATTTTTGAGAGAGATTCTTAAGAATATATTTGGATAAATTAAATGATGATATCAAGGTGAATCTATTGATAAAATATAGGGTTCATTGAGTTCCATAGATGTCGATCGACGATGACATTGATGACTCAATTGCAACTTTTTGAAATTTAGTGGCCAAATTAGAATGTATTAATAATAGAGTGACTTGTGGTGTAATTCATCCATAAAAAATCATGCACGTGATGTGGATTTTATGAAATAAAATATTACACATCATACGACCATTTTAGATTTAACGACAGGTTGACCTAATTGTTACAATCAAGTAATTGAATGATTTGATTGTAACTTCTTGAAATATAGTGACTCAATTGTACACTTACTAATAATAGAATTGTGTGGTGTAATTTACCCATTTACTTATGAACATGTTTCAATTTCCTAAAATGTCAATGCAAAATCTTTACTATAATTTTTTTTTCTCTCCCAAAACCAATGACTTATAAAATTTTGGAACAAGCATGGAGAATAATATTTATCTCAATGTTTAATCATAGGCATCCTCTATGTGTAATCCAAAACTTGCTTTGAAAGATGGGGAAACTATGATTTTTGGGCATTTGATTTTAGTATTTCTAAACCAATAATTTTTATAGTTTTGACAAATGTGGAAAGAAATTTAAACCCACCGAGTAAAAAATTATCGGTATTTTATTCATTGACCGATCAATTTGGATCGAATATTACAAAAATTCATCATGAGAACGATTATCTCAATTTATTTTTCTTAATTCATAGAGTTAGGATTTAAACTCATAACCTTATTTGTATGAACCAAATGATCTCAATTGTTAAATACATTATTATCGTTCTTAAAAGTCTTATGTTCGAACACGACGTCTACCAGGAGTGTTTGAATATATTTGTATAGAAATATCGAAACATGAGTATTTAATTATATATTTATTATTCTACCCTTAAACTTGAAGTAAGTAACCATGTCTTACTAATTTGGGAAAATAAAGTGATTTTAGATGTTCCATTATAAAGGAAAGATACCCATCATCTGTCGAATAGTGAAAAAAAGGTGATCAACGAGATCAGTTAAGATACCCATATTTACCTTGAAAATTTAATTAGAAACTCAATTTTAACTAACATATTTTTGAAAATTTCACATGATTTTTTGTTAAAATTAAAAAGATTATAAAATACTTATTTATTTAATTTAATAACATAAAATTAAAGCAAAGTTCAATTTAGTTTCATAATTTTAGTACTTTATATATTAAATTTTTACATATATAATTTTATTAAAATGGATTAATTTTTTTTAGAATATCATATATATAATTTCCATAAACTTAAAAAATATATTACTTTTTTAGAAGATCACATGTTTAATTCCCAAAACTTCAATTACCAGGAGAGATAACGACATGTTAATAGAATGATCAAAATGAAATGATATTTGATAATTTGAAGATTGATATAGAATATTTTAAAGTTTAAGGACTAATTTATAATTGTGGTCATAGTTTAGTAATTTATATAAAATATTTTAAAATTTAGAGATTATTTTAGAATTGCAGTCGACCTCATATGCAATTAACTCGAAGTAGAGAGATTAAATCTCAAGTTTATGCTGATGAAGTGACTAAAACCAAAATTTTACCTTTGATAATTGGAAAGTTGAGAATTAGTTGGTTAAACAAGCATGGGTAAATCCTTTCCTTTATTATTTTTTTATTCTATTTTATCACACACACACACACATATATTTATAAATAGATATTAAACTCGTTTATTGTTTTAAACTCATTTCATTTGTTAATATTGGTATATAATATTGTGTTTTTCATCAAGATTACTTCTCTTTTCATCTATTCTCATCATTGAAAAATCGTCTTTCTTTAACTTCTTTTACGATCACTCTAAATACAGAAGAATTCATCTCATCATCCCTTCCACTTCATCAATATAATTATTTTCCAAAATATCTTTTACAACTCA